ACTCCATGTTGAAAAAAAAAACACAGATTGATAATAATACAACAAGAATACATTATATAGTCTTTATTTCTACACAGCCATCAAGCCAAATTTCCTTTTTTTTATTAGAAGAATATACATCGAGTAAAACCAATCAACAAAGAGCAATCACATGGTTATTGTCACATTTATTGTCTATGAAGACTACTACTAACAAAGACTCCCATTCCTTTTTAAGCGAAAATCCAATCAAAGCATTTATGAACTCGATACGTCAGCTTTATTGTTGTTGTGGCGCTGTTATTTGTTATTTCAGGGGGATAGAGGCAAGCGGGGAAAATAAACAAATCGATAAACAGGTAGGTGTACATAGATGTTTAGGAGGGAAGAAGAGGGAGATAAGAGAAGAGGGGATGGAGAGAGAGAGAGAGAGAGAGAGAGAGAGAGAGAGAGAGAGAGAGAGAGAGAGAGAGAGAGAGAGAGAGAGAGAGAGAGAGAGAGAGAGAGAAAGAGAAAGATGGATGGAAATATGATGTGATAGATAGATACACCAGATGGATGTGTATATATACATACATACATACATACATACATACATACATACATACATATATATATATATATATATATATATATATATATATATATATATATATATATGCATATACCTATATATATATACATATATAGGCACAAAGATTTAGAAATAGGTAGATAGATAAAACGACAGATAAACGGACAGGTAGACAGATTGACAGACAAATAGTTGTGAAGAAAAGAGACAAAATCCAAGCAAAAGTTAAGGTCATGCTAACTCCTAAGAGCGAGAGCGGAGTGGGCAAGGGAGCTTTAAAACGGAAGAAAGGTTAACGAAAGGACTGAAGACAAACGAAAAGAGAAAGAAAAAGTTGAAAGACAATCCGGCAAGAAACTGTGTCTAAGCCTAGGTCATCCTGGCCTCGAAGGCAATGACCCCGAACACCTGCCAGGTAAAAATAGAAGAGCGAGAAAGAGAGGGAGAGAAAAAATAGAAAGATAAAAAGAGAGAGAGAGAAAAAAAAAGCAAGGATGGGAGTCTCGCCTGTGGAATGGTCATTACAGCAGCGGGCGCCACCGAGACACCACTGCTCTCCGCTGTTCTCCTTTTCTACGGCGTCTTCTACAGTACACGCATTACAATACACTCGTGCTGAAATGCCAGCTTGCCTCCAGAGGAAGGCGGCGGCGGGGGGGGGGGGGGGGGGGGGGCGAGAGGCGAGGGCGGGTCGCGCTGGCCTATGAGAGCGTCGTTGCTCTTCCAGCGGAGGGAGAAGCTGAATGATATTCTGAATATTTCATCGCGCGTTTTCTGAACTTCTCCGCGCGGAAAGGTCGTCCTCCTCTGACCTTAACGAAGGGGATTTGCCTAATGCGGCTAATGCGGTCACGTCGTTAGCTGTTCCCTTCCCCGCTCCCCCGAGGATTCCCCGCAGGCGAGGGCGCCGGGGCCTCGGGCGACGCAGCTCCGGGATGAGCGAGCGGCGCCGCGCCCAGGGCCGCCCGCACCCTCTTCGCAGGTGACACAGCCGAGGCTCCGATAACCGGTATTGATCCTGACCTTCAGGAGGGCCGCGCTCGGCGAAATCTCCGCCGACGCCGCGCCACGACGCTCCGGAATCTGAACCTCGGGGCTTGGCGTCGCCACGGGGCTCCCTTCGAATCCGCCGCGGAGGAGCTGCTGTCGACGGTTCCTGCTGATCGCTTCGGGGAAAGAGCCGCCGCTGGCCGAGCCGCCGTCACGATGGTGGGAGCGCTGCTAATGCTCTCGTCATGTCGTGCATGGCTCCGTCTTGGCATAGAAGTACAGGGACTGGCGCCAGCAGGACCTCCAGTGTAAGACGGAGGTGCCAGCTGCGCCTCCACCATGAAACGGGGCTGCTGGTCGAGCCTCCATCATGAAATACCGCTAAGCTCTCCTCCGTCACAGGCTGGAGGTGAACGCCCTTGCTCAATCGCGGGAAGCGGTGCTGCATCCTGCGGCAGAGGCGCTATCTGTCTCCGCCGGCGGGAGGAAAGTGCTCTTCAAATATTCATCGCGGGCCGAGCGAGCTGTTATTGTCTCCATAGCGGGCTGTTCTCGCCGCCCTTCCCTCGCGACCAGAAGAACAAGGCGTACATCCACGGAGGTCGTGTCTCCCTGTTCGACTAGAAACAGCTCGCGGCATTTGCGTCTCCTGAGTCGAATAGCGGGTCGGGGCGCGCGAACAGGAGCCACACAGGCACCGAAGGAGGAGGTACAAGCCGTGCAGGGCGCGGGGTGACAACGAACATCGAAGACAGAAGCGACGCGGCGGTGGTGCAGAGGCCGGGGGAGGTGGAAGGGGAGGTGGAGGTGGAACAGGTGGAGGAGGAGTAGCTGGAGGTGGCATCGGTGGCGTCAGCTTGACCTGGCTTCTTACTGGCCCTTGTAGGCATCGGCGATCTCCTTCTTCAGGGCGGTGATCTTGGGGTCCTCGCCGTAGGACTGGTTGAGGGTCATCAGCTGCCGAAAGAAAACAGGTGTTAATGAGCGCTCTGGGAGTCTTTAGGTGCACACAGGTATAAGTGTACATGAATGTATGCGATGTATGTATGTATGTATTGATGATGGATGAAGGCACACACGCATGTATGTATGTGTGTGTGTTGCATGTGTTGTATACAAGTTTTGAAATATTGTTGTAAATGGTTTATATAAAATAAATTCCTGACAGTTAACTTCAAAGGCAAATACTAAAATCAGATCAAACATCAAATGAGCAATAAAGAGAATGAAAATGATATTAAAGTAAATCTATAAACACGTACACAGCACACGCAAAAACACAGATAACAGATACGAATAGTGACATAAACAGACAGGCACACAAGTATAAACATACATTTCCATGCTCTCTCTCTCTCTCTCTCTCTCTCTCTCTCTCTCTCTCTCTCTATCTCTCTTCATTTCTATCTATCTATCTTTCATTATCTACTTTATCTATCTATTTATCTATCTATACATACTATATATATATATATATATATATATATATATATATATATATATATATATATATATATATATATAATGTGTGTGTGTGTGTGTGTGTGTGTGTGTGTGTGTGTGTGTGTGTGTGTGTGTGTGTGTGTGTGTGTATGTATATATGTATATGTATATGCATGTGTGTGTGTATATGCATGTGTGTGTGTGTGTTTATACATATACAACTTTCTCTTAACACACACATACACAAACAAGACAGCATCCAACAACAACAACAACAAAAACAAACACCAGAAAACAAACAAAATACAAACATAAAAATCGAGACACCAACGTGACTCTATTTGTACATCTCAGTATCACAAACCGTAATATACGAATTCCAAATTGTTTCGTAACTTTTTTTTTTTTCATTTCGTTTTTTTTTTGTGTGTGTGTGTGGCTTTGAATGGATTGTTTCCCGTTTGGCTTTTGTCACAGGGATCAACATGCAATGCAAACCGGACGCAGACAATCGGAACCAAATATACGAGCGATAAAAAAGCAAAAAAAAAAAACGCTTAAATTCCCTGTGTGTGTAAATGGTTTCTTTTATTACTTCGATGCCTCTCTTTCTCTCTTCCTTTCTCTCTTTTTCTTTTTTGGGGGCTCTTTTCTTCTATTTCTCTTTTTTCTTATTTTTCTACTAGTTTTGTTCTGTATATCTCGATCTCATTCTCTGTTTCGCTCTCTCTCTCTCTCTCTTTCTCTCTCTCTCTCTCTCTCTCTCTCTCTCTCTTTCTCTCCCTCTCTCTCTTTCTCTCCCTCTCCCCCTCTCTCTCTCCAATAGTACGCGTACATAAACATACATAAATCCCAGCTGATAGATACACCTACACACATCCCTCGCCTTTCCCTTTAAATCCCCACAAATACCGGTCATCGGATATGCAACAAAATCTCGAATACGCAACAACGGCCAAAAGACATCAACAACTTCTCCACGACTTGCCTGAGACAAGACCGAAGTTGGACGCTAAGTAACTCTCCTTTTCCGATATGCCTGATGTCATGCACACTCGTCATGCGTTTCGTAAAAGCTTGGTTTATTGCCTGATCTTTGTGTGTGTGGGGGGGGGGGGGAATGTGTGTGTGTGTGGGTGGGGGGGGTATGTGTGTGTGGGTGGGTGTGTATATGTGCGGGGGAGGGGGTATGTGTGTGTATGTGTGCATATGTGTGTGTGTGTGTATGTGCATATGTGTGTGTGTGTGTGTATGTGTGTGTGTGTGTGTGTGTGTGTGTGTGTGTGTGTGTGTGTGTGTGTGTGTGTGTGTGTGTGTGTGTGTGTGTGTGTGTGTGTGTGTGTGTGTGTGTGTGTGTGTGTGTGTGTGAATGGATGGATGGATGTGTATGTATTCGCGTATAAATGTCTATATGTACATGTGTTTATGTATGTACGCACATATACACAACTGTGGAGCTTATATATTCATCACTCACACACACAGCATGTATGCATACCAATGAGTACGCATTTATCATGTATGCAAGTGAGTATATATATTAATACATTAGCATCTCGAGAGGTTTCCCCCCCTCAGCAATGACCCTTAAGAGTTATAGTCCTTCTCTTTCTTTAACGAATTTCGACTTTAATGCAATTAGGCCCATGGAGCCGCCTGCACGCTGAGCCAAAGTAGGGTTAAGCCCCTGCAGAAGGCTGCCTGACTGAAGGCCGAGTTATTTGTGATTTCCCGGTGACAGCTGCGACGGCGATGCAGCGGACTCGGAAGGGATACCAATCCCTCGGATGAATTAATATCTGGCTCTGTGTGTGTGTGAATATTATATATATATATATATATATATATATATATATATATATATATATATATATATATATATATATATACATATACATATATATATATATATATATATATATATATATATATATATATATATATATGTATATATATATATATACATATGTATGTGTGCGTGTGTGCGTGCGTGTGTGCGTGCGTGCGTGCGTGTGTGCGTGCGTGTGTGCGTGTGTGTGTGTGTGTGTGTGTGTGTGTGTGTGTGTGTGTGTGTGTGTGTGTGTGTGTGTGTGTGTGTGTGTGTGTGTGTGTGCGTATGTAAGTGTGTAAGTGCGTGTGTGTGTGCAAGTCGATTTTAACGAATCACTAACGTTTTCAATTTATTTCTCTTGATATGCCAGTCTTCCAACTTTCATCACACTCCCTTATTCAGGCTTCTGCATCGCTCACCTCTCCATCTCTCTCTCTCTCTCTCTCTCTCTCTCTCTCTCTCTCTCTCTCTCTCTCTCTCTCTCTCTCTCTCTCACGCAACCGAATCTTCCTTTCCAAAATCTGTTTCCCCCTTATCATCTTTGCCTCTCCCCCCGCCCCCCTCCCCCGGTGGTATACTGCTGATGTAACAATTGGGAGCTCATCATGAACCTGTTAGCTTGATCAATAGTTCATCCCGAGGGAACTGCGGCGAGCAGACGTTTTCACATTTTTCATCTGTATATGATTCCTTTTCATAGAGTTCATCTAGACCCGTCGTGCGCAGTGCGGCGGTGCGCTCCCCCGCGGCGCAGCGCACGCTTTCGGAGACAGAGAGGATCGCGCGCACCTGCAGAGCGATCTGAACGAGAGGCGGCGAGGGAATGAACTTCCGACTTCGCGGCGTCGAATTTTTTTTTTCTCTTCTTCTTTTTCCCGGGAGGAAGTCCGCGACCCCTCCGGAGGATCGCTGGCTATGAACACCATTTGGAGGGAACTTCATTCAGTTGCCGTTGTGACGTCAATAGCGATCGAACTCCCTCATTGGTCCATTAGCCTGTCACGCCCCCTGCTCGTCCGTGATTGGTCCTGATCCGGATCGCGGGAGGGTGATTGGCCCGCCGAGGTACAACGGGAGTCAGTGGTCAGCAAAAAAGGGGTGAGGGCAGGATACGCGACGTCCCTATAGATGCGTTGATAATTAGGCCAAGATATTAATCTGAGGATCGCCTGGGGAGATTTTGGCTTCGGACGGCCCTCTGCTTCGCTTAACGGAATTAATTGTAGATATTCTCCGCCGGGAATTTCGCCCGTCTCGTCTGCGGGGCCACTAAAGAGCTATTAACCTGCGCGATCAAATATGGTGGTTAGACCTATAGCATGGTCGGACGATCTCCCAAAGGACCGCATTAAAGGGAAAAGGTTGACTCTGCGGCGAAGGATCAAGATGTGCCCATTACAGGTCTTGCTTTTGCTCAGCCCACGACGAGGGAAAGGACGAGTCACAGGTCAGACAAATCGCGCAGGTCGTCTACGGAATCAACGCACCAAATACTCTTACCATATCCCCCCCCCTGACTCTTAGCATCCTTCTCCCCGCAAAATTTATCTCCTACCCTTTCTCTCCATCTTTCTTACTAACAAATTCTCCTATTTTTTTTTCTAAATCCTCCCCACCCCCCTCCCCTCCTACCCACGCTTCCCCTACCCACACCCTTCCCACCCACCCGCTATGCGCACGTGTCATAATCCAAAACATCTGCCAGACAGACCGATCGCCATCATCCATAACACATGTCAAGCCCAGCAGCTATCCCGTCCCAGTCACCCGTCATCCAGTCATCCACCAAACGCTGTCATTTTCAAACACCTCTGTCACTAACACTCGCTTTCGGTCGTGCGTCGATCTGTCCTAGAACGCTGCTGAGAGATCCCGCCGGAGATGACGATAGGGAATAACGGATAATCGATAAATGAGGGAATGCATTACGCCACGACAAAGGCGGTGCAGAAAGAAGGACGAGGGACGCTGGCATTAAGGTTACGTGTAGGCTTATTTCTAGCAAGTCTGCGTAATACCCTTAGGCCTAATGGCGAGAATGATGAGAGGAGAGAGGGAAAGTAGGAGGGGGGGGGAAAGGGAGAGAGGAGGAGGTGTAAGGGGAAGAGAGAATAGGGGTAGGGGTAAGGGAGAGAGGGGAGAGGGGAGAGGGGAGAGGGGAGAGGGAAAGTAGGAGGGGGGGGGGGGAAGAGAGGAGGAGGTGTAAGGGGAAGAGAGAATAGGGGTAGGGGGTAAGGGGGAAAGTAGGAGGGGGGGTAAGGGGAAGTAGGAGGGGGGTGAGGGAGAGAGGAGGAGGAGTAGGGGGTAAAGAGAAGAGGGGTAGGGGTAAGGGAGAGAGGGGAGAGGGGGAGAGGGGGAGGGAGAAGAGAAGGAGAGAGGAATAGGGGTAAGGGAGAGAGGAGAAGGAGAGAGCAAGAGGGGGGAAGGAGAAAGAGGAGAGGGGGAAAGTAGGAGAGGAGAGAGGGAGAGGAAGGGAGGAGAGAGGAGAGAGGGAAAGTAGGAGGGGGGGGGGGTAAGGGAGAGAGGAGGAGGTGTAAGGGGAAGAGAGAAGAGGGATAGGTGTAAGGGAGAGAGGGGAGAGAAGGAGGGGTAAAGGAGGGGAGGGGTAAGGGAGAGGAGAAGAAGGGGAGAGGGAGAGAGAGGAGAGGGGGAAAGTAGGAGAGGAGAGGGAAAGAGGAAGGGA